CCCCCAAGGCCCCCTGGGGATTTTGGGGTCCCTGTGGGGTTCTGGGGGGTTTTGGGACTCCCTGAGGGGTTTTGGGGTCCCCCTGACCCCCCCGTGCCCCCCGTTTTTAGGGGGGGAAGATCCCGATCCGCTGGACGGCCCCCGAGGCCATCGCCTTCCGCACCTTCACCTCGGCCAGCGACGCCTGGAGCTACGGGATCGTCATGTGGGAGGTGCTGAGCTTCGGGGAGAGGCCCTACTGGGACATGTCCAACCAGGACGTGAGTCACCCCAAAATCCGGGACCCCAAAAACCCCCAGAACCCACCTGGAACCCCCCAAACCCCAAAAATCCCCCAATCCTTGTGGGAGGTTCTGTCCTTCGGGGAGGGGCCCTACTGGGACGTGTCCAACCAGGACGTGAGTCACCCCAAAATCCGGGACCCCAAAAACCCCCAGAATTACCTGTGTCCCTCCCCTGTCCCACCTGTCCCTCACCTGTCCCTCCCCTGTCCCAGGTGATCCACGCCATCGAGCAGGACCCCCTCTGTCCCTCACCTGTCCCACCTGTCCCTCACCTGTCCCACCTGTCCCTCCCCTGTCCCTCCCCTGTCCCAGGTGATCAACGCCATCGAGCAGGACTCCCTCTGTCCCTCACCTGTCCCACCTGTCCCTCCCCTGTCCCTCCCCTGTCCCTCCCCTGTCCCTCACCTGTCCCTCCCCTGTCTCACCTGTCCGTCCCCTGTCCCAGGTGATCAACGCCATCGAGCAGGATTACCGGCTGCCCCCCCCGGCGCGGTGCCCGCCCGCCCTGCACCGCCTCATGCTGGAGTGTTGGCAGCGCGAGCGCCGCGCCCGCCCCACCTTCCCCCGCATCGTCCACGCCCTCGACCGCCTCATGCGGCACCCCCAGAGCCTCAGGGTCACCCCCCCGGACCCCCACAGGTGAGGGGGGACACGGAACACACCTGGGGGGGTGACGGGGGGTCGGGATGGGCACGGAGGGTGCGGGGACCTGGTGGTGACCCCCCCTAATGAACCCCCCCAGGGACGTGCTGAGCGCGGAGGCGGCGCCGGCCGGGCACCGGCAGCAGATCCTGGAGGGCACCCGAAGCCTGCAGAGCCCTCCCAAAGGGGACCCCCGGTGCTGAACCCCCCCCAGCCCAGCCCAGCCCAGCCTGGGGCAAGATGGCACCGCCGGGAGCGGCGCTGAGGGACAACATGGCCGCCAGGACAAAATGGTTGCCGGGACAATATGGCCGCCAGGACAAAATGGTTGCCGGGACAATATGGCTTCCGGGACAATATGGCTTCTAAGACAACATGGCTGCTGGGACAATATGGCTGCCGGGACAATATGGTTGCCGGGACAATATGGCTGCCGGGACAATATGGTTGCCGGGACAACATGGCCGCTGCTCCAGTCCAGCAGTTGCTCCAAAATGCCCATCTGTGCAACACGGCCCCTGTTGCAGTGTGGCCCCCGTTCCAAGATGGCGGCCGATCCAAGATGGACCCTGAGACAACAAGGCCGCCATTCCAATATGGCCACCCATTCAAGATGGCCGCCAATTCAAGATGGCCGCCAATTCAAGATGGCTGCCAATTCAAGATGGCCGCCAGATCAAGATGGCCACCGTCCCCAAGCATCGTCCTATGACATCACCACAGACCGTGATATTACCCTGATGACATCACCAACCCCACCCTGCCAGTCAGTGACATCACTGGGGGCTGTGGGCGTGGCCTGAATGTGACCCCCAATGACGTCACAGCCAATTGTTCCCCCTTTGTGGGAGGGGGGTGTGGTCAATGTGGGCGTGGCCAGGGTGGGCAGGGCCCCCCCGGTGTTTTATTAACGAATTAATTAATGAATCATTAATTAATTACTCCTCAAATCCTGGGTTGGAGCCAATAAAAACACAGGTATGCAAATGAGGGGGCGGGGCTGAGCCCGGGGGGGTGTTTGGGGGATTTTTTTGGGACAGTTTGGGGGGGTCACGGGGGGGGCTTTGGGGACAATTTGGGGACATTTTTGGGGACATTTCTGTGACATTTGGGGGGGGTCAGGGGGGTCTTTAGGGACAATTTGGGGACATTTAGGGAAAATTTTGGGAGGTCCAGGGGGGGTTCGGGGACATTTTTGGGCGGTCTGGGGGTTTTGGGGGGATTTCGGGGACATTTTAGGGACATTTTGGGGGGCTCTGCAGGGTGTTGGGGGGGTTGGGGACATTTTGGGGGGATTTTGGGGTTTTTTTGGGCGGTCTTTGGGTGAGTCTGGTGACACTTGGGGGGTCTTTGGGGACATTTTGGGGGAGTTGGACCCAAAGGGGGGGGGGGGGACAAGGCCTCGAATTGGGGGGGTTCCCCTCCCCCCCTCCCCCCTCCTCTCTCCCTCCCCCTCCCGGGGCAGTTTCGGGGCGCGGTCCCTTTAAAAAAACAACCGGGCGTGGCCGCCGCCCCTCCCCCACCCCCCCACCCCCACTCCCCAACCCCCCAAATACAGGGGATCCCCCCCGCCCCTCCCCCACCCCGATGGGTCCCAAAAATAAGGGCCCCTCCCCTCCCCCACCTTTTTTTTTAAGATCCCCCCAAAATTTGGAGCCGCCCCTCCCCCCTCCCCCCGGGTTCCCCCCCTCCCCCCAAAATTTAGATCCTTCCCCTCCCCCCCCCTCATTTTGGAAGGTTCCGGGGTGGGGGAGGGGCTCTCCCAACCTTCCCCTCCCCCTCCCACATGTCCCCGGAGCCCCGCCTTTTCCGCTCAAAGCCCCGCCTCTTCCGCCTCAAACCCCGCCCCTTCCCTTCCATGGGCGTGGCCTCCCCGTCAACCAATCGCCGCCAGCTCCAGGCGCGGCCACGCCCTTTTAATCCCGCCCTTGGTGGGCGTGGCTAAGAAGGGTTTAGCCAATCGCCGCGCGCCGTGGGCGTGGCGAGGGCGGTCCCAACCAATCAGCGAGCGCTGTGGGCGTGGCCAAAGCCCTTCTTAAAGCGGCAGCGGCGGGGGGGCCGCCCCGAACCGGCCCAGGCGATGTCGGCGAGTCACGACAGTCGGTGCGAGATTTGGGGGGGGGGTGGGGGGGGGGGGGGGGTTTGTTTTTGGGGGCCGTGCGGGGGGGGGGTTTCTCGCCATTAAACCCCCTCCCCCACCCCCCTGTTTTTCCTCAATCCCCCGTTTTTATCTTTAAGTTTTTCCAAATTTTCCCTTTTTTCCCCAATTTTCGGCGATTTCTGGCGGGTTTGGTTCCCCTCCCCCTTCAATCCCCTGCTCCCCTTTTTTCCCCTCCCCCCTCCCCCTTTCCTTTCCCTTTCTCTGTTTTTCCTTCGTTTTCCCCTTTTTTCCCCCTTTGATTTTCCCTTTTCTTTCCTACTTTTGAATGTTTCCGGGTTTTTTTTCTCCCCCCTCCCCAAATCCCGCCCTTCAATCCCTTCCCCCTTTTTTTTTACCCCTCCCCGCCTCCTATATTTGTCCCTATTTCCCTTTTTTCCCCTGTTTTTCCGCCTTTTCCCCTGTTTTTTTTCCCTTTTCCCCCTTTAATCTCGATTCTTTTCTTTCCGCGTTTCTTGGGTATTTTTTTCGGGCCCCTCCCCCCAATCCCGCCCTTCAATCCCTTCCCCCGCCTCCCTTTTATTTATAATTCCTCTTTTTCCCTTTTTTTTTCCCGTTTTTTCCCGATTTTTCCCCTTTTTTCAGCCCCCCCCAAACCACGTGGCCGCGCGCGCGCGCCTTTTGTGAGCGACGTCACCGGCGGCGGCCGCCCCTGATTGGCGGGTTGAACGGAAACGGGGGCGGGGCTTTCGCCGCGGCGGCCGCTGATTGGCCGCTTGAGGCGGAAGTGGGGGCGGGGCTTCCTGTGGGCGCTTCCGGGGGCTCCGCGTGCGGGTTTGGGGGGGGAGGGGAAACGGGCGGGGTCAAAGGTCACGACGTGTCGCGACATCGGCCCCGACAGAGCCCGAGAGAGGGAAAATGGACCCGAGGGGATGGAACCGGACGGAGTCATCGAGGTGAACGGGGCGGACTGGGGCGGACTGGGAGGGGTTAAATCAAACTGGGAGGGACTGGGTGGGACTGGGAGGGGGGAAAGTCAAACTGGGAGGGACTGGGAAGGGTTAAAGTGGGACTGGGAGGGACTGGGTGGGACTAGCAGGGGGGAAAGTCAAACTGGGAGGGACTGGGAGGGGTTAAAGTGGGACTGGGAGGGACTGGGAGGAGTCCAGATCATACTGGGATAGAGTGGGAGGAGTCAGAACTATACTGTAATTAACTGGGATGAGTCAGAGTTACACTGGGATGGACTGGGAGGGGCGTGAACCAAACTGGGATGGACTGGGAGAAGTCCAAACCAAACTGGGATGGACTGGGAGGAGTCAGAGCCAAACTGGGAGGGGTCCAATCCCTCCTGGGCAAACTGGAATCTGCAGCAACCCTTACTGGGAACGACTCTGCTGCACTGGGGCTGCACTGGGCTGGCACTGGGGGGTCTCTGGGCCATCACTGGTCCTTACTGGTCCTTACTGGTCCCTCGTGGTGCCCCGCAGAGCAACTGGCACGAGGTGGTGGATTCGTTTGACGAGATGAACCTGTCGGAGCCGCTGCTCAGGGGCATCTACGCCTACGGCTTCGAGAAGCCCTCGGCCATCCAGCAGAGAGCCATCCTGCCCTGCATCAAAGGTGGGACCCCCCCGGGCCCCCCCAAAACGGGACCGGGACCCCCCAAAACCCCCAAATCCACCCAGAAATAGCCAAAATCCCCAGAAAACCCTGCCCAAATCCACCCAAAGTGCACCCAAAACCCGCCCCAGCAGTGGCTCCTCCTGCCCTGCAGCAAAGGTGGGACCCCCCCAAAGCCCTGGGACCCCCCAAAATGGACTCGGGACCCCCAAAAACCCAAAAAATCTGTTCTGTTCTGTCCCCAGGCTGTGATGTTACTGTGTCTGTGTCCCCAAGTTATGACATCACTGTGTCTGTTTGTTCCTGGGCTGTGATGTCATTTTGTCTGTCCTGGGGTTATGACATCACTGTGCGTGTGTGTGTCCCCAGGCTATGACATCACTTCCTGTTCAGTCCCCAGGCTATGAC